GTTTTTACATAGCTTCTCAACCATGACAACAACGTCACTGCTTCTCTTTTTTTCTTACTTCCCCATCTCCCCCCTCCCCACACACCCCTACCTCTGTAATAATTTAAAAAATTGAAATAGTCACAGATCCCCTGCCCCTTGCACCTCCCCATGCTCTATGAAGACCATAAGAAAAACATGCTCTGTCTGCTCATTGCTTCAGTAGAAAGACTCATTTCCAGATATGTAATTATTATAAAGCAGCAGCAGCAGGCTGACTTCAGAGGGCATGTCTACGTGTCGCACGGTACTTGAGAGGCTCAGGCAGTAGAATCGCATCCACTTACTGAAGCAGGACCAGCTATGCAGCTAGGGCGCTCCCCTTTGCCTCCAAATTTGGAAAATACTCTTCCCCCAGATACAATTTCCCCCTGTAAAACCAGCAGCCTACTGAGAGTGAATGAAGAGTGAGAAAAAGGCATAACCTCCCTGGAAAACCTGTGATTCCAATTTTAGGTCGATTCATTCAAAGAATTTTTATTTCCTTAGCCTCCCTCTTCCCTCCTCCTCCCCAAATGAAGCAACAACAGAAGTTGACAGAAAACTGTATGTGTCCAGATGAAATCTGTTGAAAAGAAATTTAGAAAACTTGGGGCCTGGTGCGGTAGCTATTGGCTTAAGTCCTCGCCTTACATGTACCAGGATCCTATATGTGCATCAGTTCATGTCCCAGCCATTCCACTTCCTTTCTACTTTCCTTGCCTGTGGCCTGGGAAACCAATGGAGGACACCCCAAAGACTTGGTGCAAAACCTTGGGAACCTACAGCTATGTGGGAAACCCAGAGGAGGATTCTGGTTCCTGGCTCCTTCCTTCAGATCAGCTCAGCTTCGACCATTGCCATCATTTGGGGAGTGAATCAGCAGAACAAATATCTTTCTGTCTCTCCTTCTTTCTGTCTAATTAAAAAAAAAATCTAAAAAAAACAAATTTAGAAAACTTCATATACCCTAGTATTTTTGTCTTCAAAAGTACAAACTTGTTATAAATATATAAAACATAAACTATGTTTTGTAATTTTGTGTATTACATGGATATATAGTATACATATAAAATATATAAAATGTAAAACCAATGCTTTGCTTGTTGAGTTGGTTTGCTTGCTTCATGTTGGCTATGATTTTTTGTGCTTAGTATGCAAGATAAGCACTACGACGGAAGCAAAGCAGCAGAGCAGTGCTTGGAGCTGATAGAATCATAAGCCTGGGAATGTGTACTATAATACTGCAAAAGGAGAGTTTTTGAGACAGGAGAACTTTTGCTGGGAAAAGGTGACAATAATTCCCCACAAATATGCAGAGGAGAGAGAACCAATTTAAATTTCCTGTTGCCTGCTATGTAACAGGACAAATAAGCCCTCCAACCCCATTTAAAATGAACCCCAAGTTAGAAACCTCAGGCTGATTCCACCAGGTTAAGTGTCAGTAGAACTGTCCCATTCCTAACTCAATCTGATCCTTCTACTGTTGGGTACAGTAAGTTCTGCTTTTTATTACCTCCATTGCTGTCTTCACTCATTTAGCCTGTACTTCCTAGTTAGCATTAATGGTGCCACTCTCTATTGCAGCAGTTCCCAAAGCATAGGGTCTGAGAGTCTGTGAGTGTTCTCTAGACAGTCTTGGGAGGCATTCAAAATAAGAAAAAAATCTCTTTTTATCCACCCCCCCCAGTACTATTACTTGTATTTTCCATGCCAACCAACCCTCAGTATGCAGTCAAGGTTTGCAGGAACATATGAAATGCTCTGTCACTACAGACTGTGGAAGAAGCACACAGGAAATCCCAGCTGTCTTTTATGTACCGAACCTGATGAAATCTGTGAAAATGTGGATTAATGCTCATCTTATTAACATTTGTTTTCATCTAATGGGCTGATTATTTTTAAACTGTTAGATATTCTTCACATTTTTGGGATCTAATTGCTAATCTCACACACACACACACACACATACCCCAATGGGGGAGGGAGAGATTTTCCACCTGCTGGCTTACTCCCCAAATACTAATTTTAGCAAAAATCTGGGCTAAGTCAGAAGTCAAGAACTCAACTGAGGTTCTCCATTGCTCCACGTGGGTGGCAGGCATCCAGTACTTGAGATATCCCCTGCTACCTAACCTGGAACTGGGAAAGGAGCTGGGACTCAGAACCAGAAACCCTGATGTAGGATGCGGGTATCTCAAGCTGTTTCTAAACTAAGGCACCATGTGCCCTTCTCTCACCAAGTTGATAACATCTAAGAATGGCAAAAGATACAAGACCAAAATGTGTAAGAATTTTTCTCTACACATTGAACAGAACCGAGCTGATCCAGAAAAGGGAAACTTCATCTTCCACGCTTCAAGACTTTGACTTTGGTGGTTAACCCTGAGGACTTGCAATTTAATACTGGTGGGCCATGCCTTATAACAACCCAATATGTAGAGATTAGAATTCAGAAAGAGGACGATTAGGTAGTAAAATTCAAATTATAAGAAGTTTTGATGAGATCCTTTTAAGCACACTTCATTTTGAGAGTATTTAAATATGACTAGTTTTCAAAACTGGAAGTACATTTCTGCTTCTGAGAACACGTGTAGTGCACCCTGGCAAACACCATGACCCTAATTCTAGGTGGATTTAACGTAACATTCTTTAGTTAAGAGCAAAATAGTAGAAGTTTAGTTGGGCTTTAAAGACAATAAAGATGAGAAGTCTATATTTGGCTTTTTCACACACTAAAACTTAAGAACATAGAATAAACAATAAGGAAAGTTAACACGTGGCAAGTTCTAAAAGAAAATAGATTAGTAGCTTTTTTTCTGGATTCAACTTATTTTAGACTGAGGTGTTTTTTTTTAAGATTTATTATTTATTTTTATTGGAAAGGCAGATATACAGAGAGGAGGAGAGACAGAGGGGAAGATCTTCCATCCGATGGTTCACTCTCCAAGTGGCCACAATGGCCAGTGCTGAGCCAATCCAAAGCCAGGAGCCAGGAGCTCTTCCGGGTCTCCCACGCAGGTGCAGGGTCCCTAGGCTTTGGGCCATTCTTGACTGCTTTCCCCAGGCCAAAATCAGGGAGTTGGATAGGAAGCGGGATGGCCAGGATTAGAACTGGCACCCATATAGGATTCTGGTGCATGCAAAGCAAGGACTTTAACCGCTATACTATCACGTTGGACCCTAGTCTGAGGTTTTAAAGGTGAAGATATTCTAGGAGAAACTAGATGACTCTGTGAGGTTTACAACAGAGGATTGCTTGAAAGATAGATCTGGAAAGCTTGATTAAAAATAGGGTGGGAAAATGGATGATGAAGAAAGGACAGCAGCACAGAATTGAGGTTGGTGACCTACAAAGAACTGTCGTGTTTGGAATTAACAGATGGATTTGAGGTTCAGCCAGGAAAGATAAGTTGAGTTATACAAATGCAAAAAATAAAAGCACTCCTCAGGAAAATACACAAATAAAAGGGAGTGTTAATTAGCAAGGTAGAAAGTTGGATCTCCTTAATAGCAACAGTATGTGCTACTCTGTGTGTGACACAACGGTGGTGGTGCAGCCATGCCCATTGCATTATGGTGTGTGTCTTTGAGGGTAGTGAGCAAAATAGTTCTGGTGGACCTGGAAGCTCGTCTCTCGGTAAGCAGAGAAATGCCCTTTTCTCCTATCTTCTGGACAGAGGGCAACAGTAGCTCCTGTGACGGAATGGCCATAGTCACCTTGGAAGTTTTGTTCTTGACAGCCATTTCAAGTCTTATGTACTCAGCAAAGGCTATCCTCTCTTACCTTTTATTTTCAGTCATTTGGATCCGTTGATATTTGACTTTCAGGTTGACTATCAGAAAATGGCTTTTGCTACTTTGCAGTGATAACACTTGCTGAACTAATTTTTGTCAAATTTCTCAAAATGTCATTAATCTTCAGTTAAGGAAAGGACAAAGAACATCTTTCCTCAGATGAGAGCTTTTTAAAAGATTTTGTCCATTCATCAAATAGAAAAGGTGAGAACGGAAAACTTAGGCTATCTTCACCCCAGGTGTTTCAATAAACTGTACTTAAACATGTTCCTACTGTTGCATGCATAAGAGTGAGGGTGGGTTGGTTGGGCTTTGCCATAGCATCAGCTGGCAGATGCTGGCATGGAGGGGAGGGCAAACTGTCAAGATCAACTGCAGAACCATCTGGAGAATGCAACATCCAGGAGTGGTAGTGGGTCCAGTGGGGAAACAATGGGTACCTCCCTCTAGGGTTGCCAGTCTTACTGGTGAGCACAAGAATTAGGACTGGGGCAGACACGGCTAGACAGAGAGTGGCACTCTCCAGCAAGTGTGTGGGCTGGGTTATGGGGCTTCAGTGTCCATTGACATGTATGAGAGCTGAATGGGATGTGGGACAGACTGGACCAATCGACTGTTCAAACTGGCAAGCATGGGAACCAGAGCAGGAAGTGGGCTTGGTGGGGTTATTATGGGTTGCTCCGAGTACGCTACAGCTCCCACTGATGTGTGATGGGCAGGACCAGAATGGGCTGCAATGCCCATTGATTTGTGTAAAAGGCTGGAGACATAACTGACCCAACAACTGCAACCACTAGTGTGTACATAAGCTGATTGGGGCAGTGGATTGTGCCGGACTCTGTATTGGCAAACACACACAAAAACCATGTCTTGGATTACCCCAGATGAAGTTTTTAAGGGAATCTTTCCAACTGAATTGCTGGATTCAGAACCCAAACCATAAAGAGAATCGCAGTTTCATGGTCTGCTCATGAAGTGCATGGGTCAGAGACGGGCCTCCTCATTGGCTTAGATAGAGCAGTAGACAGCATATCCAGCTGTACATGGAGGATATGGCAGTATGTCGGAGTCTGTGGAGGACACCTGATACTGTAACAAAATACAGGACAGAACAAATCAATCAACTATCCCAGCCAAGTGTTGGCAGTGAATATCTGGGCAAATAGACACTCTAAGGTGGACTATGTCCATCAGTGGATTCTGGAAAGATTTCATCATGCTTGGAGTGGCAAGATCAGCAGTTATTCCAAACTGTTGAACTACTGAAACCTCATGTGCTGGACCCTCAGAGCATGCTCTACATCAGGGACTCTGGGGTAGTGTCAGGTAGCTGCCCTCCATTCCGGGTTGTAAAGGCATTTGGGAGTCTGGGTGTGGCTTCTCTCCTTGTCTGCCTCCTTCCCCCACATAAAGCAGGGGGGAGAACGAGAATATGGAAATTGTGATCTCACCCAATTCTTTCTCCAAAACTGTTTGCATCTTTTTCAGATACCATACAAATTAGGTCACTTAATTTTTAAACTGTGACTCTCCAAAGCTTTGAGCTGAAATAAACCTATCTGAGTAGCTTGGCTCTATCAGTTACAGTAATAGCAGGCTGACTGACACAATGCACTCCTTCATTAATGTGTTAAGTTATGATGTCTAAGGTTGGGCATATACTAATATTACAGGCATAAGGCACAAACAATAATTCATGTCATACATATCACTCCAGAGGGAAATTAATGATCTTCTAAATTTTTGATAACTTATTGGAAAAACATGATGTTATAGTCATTCTCAGATGTTTTTCTCTGTATTGGTGGATCAGTTTCAATGCAATCACCATCAACATTGTAGAAGGCTTGTGAGATATATATGAACAAAAAGGACAGTAATCACAGACAAAAATCACCAAATAAAGAGGAAAATCCTGTAGTAGTTGACAGGTGAGGTGAATAAAGATAATAAAGATGTCAAGAAAGGGGCTGGAACTGAAATGAGACAGTCTGTTTGTACCTTATGGAGAAGGTGATACTTATGCAATGATCTGAAGTAGGTTGATAATCTATCATGTTCTTGTTTGGCAGGAGAGCTTTCAGGGAGAGCAGCTAGCAGAAAAAACCTTTGATTCGACCATGTACCTGTTGTTTTCAAGGCTCAATGGGATTGGAGCAGAATGAGCTAGAATGAGATTCATGAAGTATAAAGCTAAATGTTATGTGGTAAGAGGGGGAAACCAATATAGAGTTTTGTGAACCTTTATTGAGGAATTGGGTACCAAGAGCACTGACGTAGGAGTGAGAAGTTTGACTTCCTTCTTAATGGGATCCCTTTGTGTTGAAATACAAAGAGATAAGTAAGTTGTGGAGCTATTCCATGCTACAGGTGGGAATCAATGGTGTTACAGACCAAGTAGGAGTGGTTCATAGGATAAACCTTCTTGTGACTATATAATTTGAAGCAGAGGTCAACAGAAATGTTATAATGGACTAGAGTTGGCCTAAGAATAAGCAGTAAAATGACTCACAGTATTTGGACTGAATAAATGAAAGGAAGGATTTTTCATGAGCGTAAGCTCCCTTTCCTGGACATCTGGTGCCATACAAGTGAAGTTACAGTGGCTGGCAACCTTTTATGATTTTCCCCATCATTAAGCATCTACTAAATTGGTAATTGTAGCTGAGTCTTTCTTTATTTCTCCAGATGGAATTTATGGTAAGTTCTGATGAGAGAAGAAACTAATGAAAAAATGGACATTTAAAAGCTTACCCTTCGATGAAGTATGATTTTGATCTGCACATTGGTTTATTGTTCATTAATTGAGCTATTAAACCTTTCTCATGCTGTAACTATTTCAGTTGCTCACATGGCTGTTCCTTATGGTTAAATATTCACTGTGATGGACTGCTTCTCGCCAGACTGGGCTGTTGCTTGATGAATGTAAATAATGAGAAGAAACCAGCAGAGAAAGCATCCCAAGCACTCACTGTGGGGTCAGCCCATTAAGTGTGACATTGACAATGATAATACACCTTTTCTAACACACACTGTATTTGGCTTTTATTCCTGAGTATATCTGATCATTATTTCCATGTGCTATTCTTTGGAGTAATTAATGAAATGTCCAAGGTCAACTTTAGTAAAGTTAATAAGGAACTGAGAAGTCTCAGCTTGACAACCCTCCCATCCATAACCAACTAACTCAAAAGCAATTTACTGAACGGGTCAAGCATGTGATGGGGCTAAAATTGTGACTCTGTCTCGGCTGCCTGAAAGGAGGGGGAAGAAAGAACTCTCCTGTACTTGCTGTGAAATGTGCCTGTGTTTTGTTTGTTTGTTTGTCTTGCTTTTCAAACTTGTGATTTCATGATCCGTATCTATCTTCTGCATCTATTTTTGAAACTCAGGAGAGAATGAAATGATATTGCAAGAGACAGTCTCAGTTAAGAAAGGGACAAACACCAAATTACACTAGTTGGATTTTTTGAATGTGTATCCCTTTTCTTTCAGTGTGGGATTTTGAGTTACAGATCATGAAGTAGATATATTCTCACGGTTTTGACCTGTTTCTTTCTAAAAATAAAAAAATTAAAATTCCTAGACTAAAATGTGGGTCAAGAAAAGGTAAAGCTATAGAAAGTATGTGTGTTTGGCAGGTTTATTGCAGACTTGGAAGTGAAAGATGAGAGAATTGCAAGACTAGAAAAATGGATGAGGAGACAGAAGACACAAAATAAAGGGGCAAGTTTTGGTTCATTTTTCTGTATCTGTACAATTCTAAAAACGTTGGAACCAAAATTATGAAAACCACTATGAACAAAGAGTTCCATTTTCACCATGTAGAACTCACACTTTCAGTTAAGGAAATATAATAATAGAGCCAGTTCTGGCAAAACTAAAAACAATGACTTATCTTCAAAACTCCCTGCTCTTCTTCCTTACACGTTGTCCTCTCTTTGGACCAATGCACACATTGGCATTAAATTTATGGCTCCCTGAAACTTCCTCTTTGATCTCCCACAGAATATAATCATAGATCACTTAACAACAGGTACCTATTCTGAAAAAAGTACTGCTAAGTGTTTCTATCATTAGGTAGACACCATTGAGTACATGTGCACAAACCCAGGAGGTATAAGCCTTTAATATGATCAACTGATGAAATCAAGATATGAGGTGAACAGGAGACATCTGAGGTTGCTTCTGGCATCTGATAACAAACTATTTTATAGTGAACTTTCTAAGATATAAATAGAAGAGGTAAGCTCTAAAATAATCATCAAATGTGTGGTATAGTAAACAAAAATTCAACATATTCATATTGTCAAACATTATGCACTGATCATAAGTATTGCGCTTGCTGTAGTTTTATGCAGCTGGTGTTGCAGTAGGTTTGTTTATATTGATATCACCACAAACACCTTAAAATTTGTGATGGCTATGACATTGCTCATGAGGAAATATGAAATTTTCAGCTCCATTAGTATCTCTTGGGACTTTGATTGCGTACATTGTGTAAATTGACCAGAATGTTGTTATAGGGGTGTGTGACTATCTACTCATGCAGTGTCCTAGATTTTGTGGATAAACTTACTAGAAACCAGATTATGACTAGATTAGATTAGTATTTAAAAATAATCTCAGAATCGTATGACTAAGCTATTCTGGTTAACCATCTAGACAATAAACAAAAATATCTACACAATGGATGAGCTCTTAATATGGATAGCATTTTCATGTTGAAACATACTCCTATGCCTTTTCCAAATAAGAAGTATTTAGTTTTTTCCAAAAAGAAACGATGTGTTCATTGTATGTATTAGAAGAATGGTAGAAAAATGTGTTTTGATATGATAATCTTTTGCATCTTTTAAATTTGGCCTTTAGGTGACCATTGTTCAGGCCTAGGAAATATACAGGAAAAGTGGGGTGCCAGTTAGTCCACAGAGTATTCTAGACTTTCTGTGAAATCCTCATTTTAATTGTATGCAAATGTCACAGTTTCATCATTGAAATAATAAAAATGAATGGGTAAATGATTTTGTTAGTGAAATTAAAAATAAGTTGAGATTATCTATATTTGGGAGAATCTTTAGGAACAATGTATGAAATCATAGATTTCCTAATTACTCCATTCTACAAGATTAACATAATTGGTTTCTAATCATGGTAGAAGAAATTTAAGATTCAAAGAAAACAGTTGAAGCTATCCAAAACCTCTTCAAAGGATTTACAACTTCTCTTTTTATAGACCTTTGCACAGGGTTAGCTAATTTCATTGGCTACTTTGCTTATCAATCTTAGGGTATCACCAGCTCTTAAATTATGTTTGAATACTACGATTTGGGAGCCTACAAAGAGACTTAGTATTGTCTTTTTTTCTCACACAAACAGGAGGAAACAAAAAATGCTGGTTCTTTCTGAGTTGTGTATCCCTCAAGGCATATCAAGAATTTATTGAGAGCTCTGCCTAATTACACAGATTAAATTCTCATGCTGCTCTTTTGCAAATATTTCAAATTATTTGTCTAACAGTAAAGTAGACCTGACATGTTAATTGGCTCAGGGAGTCATGCATGATGTTTACTCATTTGTGACTAATTTCTGATACATTAGTATTTTTGAAGGAAAAAGATCTATGTGTAGAAGATGAGCTCTGAAGTCCAAATATCTAGCAAGTTCTGTTAACAGAGAACTCATCAGTAGTAGCATCATTCTGCAAAGTACCTAGGTGTTTCAAACCGCAGCTCTAGCCAATGATTCACATGACCTCAAACACATCATTTCATTTCACCTTTCTTAGGATTTTTCTGTAGTAAAATAGTCTTAATAACAACACCACATGAAAACCTCATGAGGAAATAGACAGGGTTAGTGAGATAATAAATAGTGGGAAACAGTTGTTGAAAGGCCCTCACAGCACAGTATTTTTACTCCTTGTGATATAGAAACATCTGACTCATGCAAACCCATCTTTCATTGACTGTTGAGCTAAGACTTAAAACATAGAAATGCCGCCCTGGACTCAGATCTTTCTCTGCCTTCCTAACTTGATGGTGATGTTAAACTTCAGCCTAATCTTATTGCAAGACAGAAATCATTGCTTTGTGTTTTCTGCAGTGAACACGGCAAAAACAGTATGTTTGTGGAATGTTACAACTCATTTGAAAACAGTCCATTTTAACTCATTACCTGTACCTTTGGATTTTGATAGGGGTGGTTGGTTAGAGTGAAATTTAATCTACCAAAAAGCAGAATCTCATAAAGAACACAAACCACCACCAGTTATAAATAGAGACATTTGGTAGCCTTATGAGCTTTCTGTAAATAGTTGTGTAGTTTAAAAACCTTTTTATAGTGTAGAAATACAAAAAAGCTAGGGGATTAACAAGCCTAAAGCATATAGAAACTTCTCTGAGAAGTTCACAAACTCAGATCATGAAATAAACTATTTGTCTTGTCACACCCACATAGCTTGTTATGTTTATAGGTATGTAGAAACTAATATGAAATGATTTTTATTTGGTAAAGACCTAAGGTCAAAAAGTACGCTATTCTTAGTAATAAGTCCCGTCATGGGGAAGAAAGCATTTCCTTGGACTTTCGAAGTTTTAGTGGGAGAAACTGAGGCACATCAGAGCCACAGGGGGAAAAAAATGAACCAAAGAACATGCGAAGAAAGACATTAGCTGCTTACACTCTTTGGAGAAAGTGATTTCTACTTATTTTTAGGATGCAAAGTGAGAGATATTTAAAAATTCATCTTTGAACTGAATTTTTTCGTGGTTTTTGGTGTTCTATTTTATATAGTTTAATTAACTCTTATTGCTACATTCTGCACCCTGTGGTGGTTTTAAATAAGCAAATATGTGGAGTTTTCATTTGCATCATGATATGGACTCAGTGAGTGATCTTGTTGAATAACTTCTCTTCTGCCAGATAAATTCTTTCTCTATTTGCAGCACCCCAGCGTTTATGCACACATTGGTTATCATATACCTATTTTCTAAAAATTTAGTGCCCTATTGCCAAATGTGTTTCATTTTCAGAAAGATGAGATCAATGTGTATGTGTTTTTTTTTAATGAAACTGTCATTTAAAATTATACAGAAATGCAACCACAGGAATAGTTCGCTCTCCCTTATGCATTTCATTTGAAGAATTGGAGGCTTGGAACTTTTTTCCACTACGATTTGGAGCCAGACAAGAATTATAATTGTTATTTGATTTTAGTGTCCAGTTTCACACTTCCAAATTTTCCCCAAAATAGGATTTTTAAAAAATGACAATCAGATCTCCTTGTTTCTAAGTAGATAACTTTTAATATCAAGATGAGTCAAAAATATCATAACTTCTACCTTGCTAAATTCACCCTTTTACTTGAACTTCAGCAACCTTTCATTGCTCATGTCAGAGACTATAGCCCCAGGCAGCCACACTTTCTGACCATTTCCAGAATGGTGCTTTGGTTTGTGGATTAGAAAGTAAAGTGGAATAAACAATAGATGCAAAAACTAACACTGAAACTATCATTTTCACCATATTTTACTCAGTAGGACAAACTATTTTTTATCCTCAAGATTCTAGGGAGAAAAATAAAATATAAATAAAATAAAATATAAAAAAAGAGGCAAAAGAAGCAAAACATGGCTTATGAATAAAGGAAGTGTGCAGCAAAAAATGAAACTAGAGCTCTCTTAGTACCAAGAATATTTGAATGATACTATTGTATTCTAACTAAAATATCCTTTTGCTATAAAATTATCATGTTTCCAAAAAACTGATAAAGAGATGGCAGAATTGCCACCTCCTAAAATTTGTAGCAGCATCAGTGAAGCCTGTGGCTTTGGATGGGAGCCAAAATATATGGCACAATCTAAATTTATATGGATAAAATGCTGAGTATCCAAGAGTGTGAAGACAAAGGTTTCAGGGAAGCTAAGTTTGCATCAGCGAGTTGGCCAGTGCCATGTAGAAAGATCCACTAGGCAGAGGTGAGGATCAGAGGAAGCATGCACCCCACAAATAGGAAAGCAACTGACCATCCTGCCAGATGATGGTGTGCACATGTTCCTGAAGCCATGTGCGATACCAGAGTTCTCCTCATTGTTGTTGCACATCATTAATATTAACAGGTTACATACACCAATATCTTGCAAAAGGAAACCAGAAATAAGGGGTGTATCTGTGGCCACAATGGTTGCAGAGGAGCTTTTCCAAAGCCAGGATCCAGGAGCTTTCTCCAGTTAGCCCACATGGATGCAGAGTCCCAAGGCCCTGGGCCATCCTCTGTTGCTTTTCCAAGTCACAAGCAGAGAGCTGCACAGGAACTGGAGCAGTCAGATCACAAACCAGCACCCATATGGGATTCTGGTGCCTGAAGTGGAAGATTAGCCAAGTTGAGCCATCATACCAGGCCTAAAAATGCTTTTATTTGAGGAAAAAGAAAAAAGGAACACAATGAGACAACTAATTTGATTATCAAATCAGACTAAGCTTAAACTGCTATTAAGTATTTTTTCTACAACCTGGAAGATGTCATCTTGAAGAAAATTTCTAATGCAATTAACACGATATATTCTTTCTGTATGGTTTAGTATGTACAATTCAGTAATAGTGTTGTACATTGCGTAGATTATTTGAAAGAGAAATTCTATTATTACAAGTGTTCCTCCTTTGAATGTGATTATTCTCTTTCTATGCACTCTGTCAAACTATTCCTTTTTTTATAGAGGTATTACACTTCTTGAGGAAAACGGTAGGGGCTTGTATGCAGCATGTTCTGAATGCGAAAAGCTTGAAAATCTCCTGCACCATTTCCAAACTGATTCTCCATCTTCACACATTAGGACTGCCTGGAGAGCTTTAAAACCTTCCCCGTTTCCAATCCTGATCAATTAAGCTGCAGGCTCCCCAGGTAATTCTAATGTTTAGCCAGGGTTGAAAAACTTTGGTTTTGTCAACAGGGAAGGATTCTGTTAGTCACGTGTACAACAGCGTTCTAAATTTGGGATAGTTTCAATAGTATCAGCACCACTAAATGGCTGCCAACTTTGTGCTGCAACATAGGAAAGGCTGAATTTCAAATGTTTTTTCATGCTTTAATGTCTGTTTAAGGTTTTCCTCACTGTGTTAATGATTTGGTGGCTAATATAAAGAAGTTACTGGAGTCTTGCCATGTTTCATCCATGTCTATTAATTTCCACTCCCACTCTGTAAAACCATTGCAATTGAGTAAATGAAAAAGATATCTGGGGAAATGTCTGTCTCTGGATCATGATTTTTTTCCAGTCAGTACCAAGAACATTCTTCTGGGTGCAGCACATAAAGGAGGTGACTTTAGCTCTTGGTTGTATGTCTGTTAACTTGAGTATGGCAGTTTACTGAATGATAAGCCATGCATACAATGATGCTACCAGTGATCAGTCAGACAGAACAGTGAAAGTAAGTTACCTCGGTTCTCAGGAGGATTCTTTCACCACTATTACCCTCTGTCAATTTTACTGAAATCTGTGGTTGCCTTGGCTTAATAATTTGGAACAGTATTACAAACACAAAAGCTTCCTTTTCACGAAATCCTGAACTTTGAACTTTCTTTTAAACTACTGGTGAAACTAAGCAACTTTGACTTTAACTTTGACATAGTTTTTAAGTACGCTCTGGAAACCCTTTGCGTATTCAAACAACCTTGTCGGAAAAGCTGAACCATCAAATCTTTAGCAGTTACAAGAATAATGTGTATTGAGAAGCAGTCATTGGATAAAAATTGGTTCAAGATGATTTTCAATATAGCTGATTCAAACAAAACCAAAGAAGTGTCATAAAAACATAATTTCACACACAAGGAGCACATTTTCAGGCTGATGGTATAATGTTAATGACAATCTTCCCTACCTAATTCTGACATTCTTAGCCACAGAAACTAAAATAAGAGGCTTGGGTAGTCCTCACAATTTCCAGGATGGTTATAACCTGTATCAATGGGCCTGTATGTGAGTCTTAGGTCCACTCCCCGTTCTGGATCCTGTTACAGTGTACTCTGAAGTCAGTAAGTGATGACCAAGTGCTTGGTCCTTGTCGCTTGCATGGTAGACTGAAGCTGAACTCCCAACTCCTGGATTCCAGTTGCCCCAGCACAGCCCCAGTTCTTGTGGGGCGTTTGGAAAGAGAGAGAGGGAGACAGAGACAGAGAAAGAGAGAGAATCTGTCTTTGAATGTCTGCCAAATACATTTAATAAATGAAATATTCCAATAAAGTAAGTTGAAACAAAAGACTCTCATTATATCGCATGTATTTGTTAAACATTTTATTTATTTGAGAGCCAAAGAAAGGGAGAGGATGAGTGACCACAGAGACAGACAAATTGAAACACAGAGCTCCCATCCATGTTTCACTCCCCTAAATGGAATGAGGCCAAAGATAGGAGCTGGGAAGTCAACCCAGGTCTCACGTGACTGACCTGGAACCAACTACTTTAGGTAGCATTTCTGTCTCTCTGGGGGTATTCCTTGGCAGGAATCTGGAGCCATGGGCCAGAACCAGGTATCTAACCCTGAGACTCCTACATGGGACATGGGGCTCTTAAGCAGCCTGTTAACTGATAGGCTAAATGCCTATTCCTGTCATTGTGGTTTAAGGCTTGGAGCAAGATTTTCGGAGCTGAAGTGTAGAAAAGACAATAGCTTCATATACCAGAATATTAAACCTTGTATCCTGTCATACTACTTCAGAATTGTAAATTACTAAGTGTCTAGGAAATCAAGTGAAATATGTATGAAAAACTTTGAAAAGGAAATTTCAGAAACAATCTTAATATCAAAGAAAGATCTCAGGGTTGTACATATTTTACAGAAAAAAAGAAGACTATAAGCTTTTCCATATATATTGGATTTATTCTATTTCTCCAAAGCTATCTGAAAGGCATTGAATAATGCTCCCTTTCAGTTTCCAACAAATAAATAAATAAATAAATAAATAAATAAATAAATAAATAAAATAAAGCATAAAAGTTGACTCTGAAACTCATTTTTGTATAGATTTATGAGAAAATTGCTTTGATGTCTTTTCCATTCCCTTACCAGTTTAAAGGGGGAAAAAAAAAGAAAAGAAAGCGAATGCATATTAGGTTTAGCATTAAAAATAATCTACTCTTCAACTTCCTATATCTGTGGCAGGCCTGGGCAGAATGCCATAATAACACTCTGTGTATTATAAGGATCCTATAATCATTCAGAGTCTCTTCCTTTTTTCTATCGTCAGCTGAACTGCTGTTACTGGTTCTCCCTCTAACAAAATTAGCAAGGCTGGACTGACGCTTTTCGTAGTGTAGGTTGCTGTACACAAAAGGGAGCTGAAATCGGATTTCAACATGTCTCAATAGAAATGCCCATTTCACTCTCCGTGTATGAATTCAGGAAGCTTTCTTCAATATGTGAGGAGCTAATGTCTTAATTAAGCAGGACCTCTCAGGGGTCCAGGTGGTCCTGCTGGTGTTCAACAGAATCTGCCAATGCCCCAGGCAATTGATGGGGAAATAGATCCCTCTGCCTTTTCCAAAAGCGTGGTGTGTGTGAACTGCTCAGACCTGGCAGATGTAAGTCCTGGCCAAGCCAGGCTCTGATTATTTCCTCTAGGTTTCAAGCAAGAACAAACAGGGAGAACTCAGCTTAATATGTGACAGTGCATTTGTGCTTCAAACCAAATAGAAAATGCAATGTGAATGAAGTTGGCATATTAAGCTTTTGCTCTTTCTTTAACATCAGAATGAGAATTTTATACTAATAGATTTTTTTAAACTAACAAATCATAGAAACATGGCTATTTACTAATTTTCCTGTTTCAAGAAATGTAAGTATTTGGGGTTTAGTTTTTTCTTTTAAAAAATATTTTTAAATGCATAATCTATAGGAACATGAGGCCATATTTGCTGAGTGAAACTATATTGAATCTGAAGTCAATTTTTTACTTAGTCATTATATTTCCTAGAAACTCAAGACATTGGACATTATGTTGCTATTTCTGTTTATGCTCTAATCAATTTTTTGGGGGGGATTTATTTATTTTTTATTGGAAAAGTGGATTTACAGAGAGAAGGAGAGACAAAGATCTTTTGTCTGTTGATTCACTCCCCATATGGCCACAATAGTCATAGCTGAGTCAGGAACTTCTTCTGGGTCTCCCACATGGGTGCAGGGAACTAAAGACTTGGGCCATCCTCTGCTGCTATCCCAGGCCACACGCAGGGAGCTGCTGGAACATGAACCGGCACTGTTATGGGATACTGTCAGATACAACATGCAAATTTGGCAAATAGGCCATGCCGCTGGGCCTGCTCTAGTAGATTTTGAGAAAGAAATTATGGTGCACTTTCAAGAAACCTGGTATTGAATAATGAAAAAGTGTTAATATAGGTTCGTGAAATGAACAAGTAAGGAACGAAACACCCTGGGAGGGGTTTGGGGATTTTGTAATGGATAGACTATGCTTGTGTGAGGTAGATGTGGATTCTCCTCTGGTCTTATTAGTGAATCTAAGACTATATGTATATAAAACAAAGAAGGAAATTAAAACAAAACTGAATAGAACAAAATCAAAGAAATTATAAGCTTGTGACATGCCCATGCTGTTAGAAACTAGCACATATAAACGCATGCTGGTTGGGCAGAGGAGCTTAGCAGTGAATGGAATGATGATGTGTTGCTGGCAGAAACAGGTGACTTTTCAAGGTGTAATCTTTTCTGGTTGAGGCTCTGGGTCTTTCTCCAATGAAAATTTTCGATGTGCTTTCATCACTATTTATGATGCTTCACACTCAACTATATAATGCTCAGTTAGTGAAGGTTACTGTGATAGAAGGAATTCATTCCATTGTTCTTTCAGCTTTTATTATACGTTTACCTGGGGTTTTAGTACTCCATGAAGGTATGGAAGATCTCCTCTCATCATGCTGATTTTTATCTGTGAGAGTCTTCACAATTTTTCTTTGAAACAAGCATTCTGCTTAACTTTCTTATACCTTAGTTTACACATGCTAAATGGAAATATGAAAGGGTAGAATGGCCAACAGTAGTTTCTATTTATTGGCCATGCTAGTTAGCATACTATGATTCTTTTTAATTAGTGCTATTTGGTTTTCAAGTTAAATTTCATTAACTTGAAGAATCACCTATCACCTTTATTTCCCTGATGACTGGTAAAGTCACAATGGAAGATCATTACAATCATTCATGCACATCTATTGTCAAGGTGCCAAATGGAGATATTTGGTATGCCTAATTTGCACGCATTTCATGTGCCTAACCTTGCCCTCTGAACAAGAATCTATAACATTGTCCCATATTTCCTTTAACATGGTCTCTGAGGAATCTAATCCTTGACGTTTTAGGCCTTCTGCCAGTAAACCCAGACTAGATTGCCTAAGCTTGACTGCAGCCAAATTTATTTATTTCTTTGAATGGGTAAAAACATGAGCAAGTAGATAACATTACAAATGAAGATATTTGTGATACTTCTGGCAATCTTCTAAGTTGATGCTAAGATACCTAGTTATTTTCCTTGACATATACATCACAAGTCATACTATCAACATATGCTGAAGTTCTCTGTCCCAATCTTGAAATCCCAAGTTTTGACAGTACTCTCTTGTAAAAGTTCTACTTCATATTACTCCTTTCCCAGGACACATTTTCCTGTTATGCTCCCTTTGTGTGGATAAGTGCTTCATTTTCAAGAATGTTTTTATTTCTGTAATTACATTACTTGAAATTGAAAGAAGGTAGGGGAATAAGTTTTTAAATCTAAACTTAGTTCATCAAAGCAGTCTAGTTTGAGAGACACGATCTAGGTCATTGAAAACAACTTCTAATTCTAAAATAATCCTGTAGACATGTAGGATCTGTCACTTAATAAACTTGATTTGGGATTAGTTGCCAATGTTCCTGATTTTTTTCTTCCTTTGATTTCAGCATGGAAGCAGTAATCCCTGCTGTTCCTTAGGGGATGTTATGAAAATAACAATACATGTGATTATTTTCCAAACTACAAAAGCAATCAGCAAACAGGTGTAAGATGTGATAGCAATCTCTCATAAAAAACACGGGAAGAGAATTCATAAGAGATACAGATGATCACTCAAAGAAATAAGGGCAAACATAGGTATAAGAAAAGAAATTATTCAAATATTTGAAGAATAAAACAGTTAAAAATCACAGTGTATCTTATATGAAAATAGACTGAATGATTTGCATTAGCTAGTGTAATTACAAGGGTGATAAAAAACATTGCTAATATAATTTTGTGCTACATCAGTGGTAGCATAGTAGCAAGAAGCTAATAGTCCCAGTAGGCTCTGCAATGGTCAGAATGCAGTTAATATTTTGGAATCGGTCCCTGGTGCCATGTTTGAAGATGGACATTTTCATATTGTGGTATTCCCAGAGAAGGACACCCAAAAGACAAAGTCAATGATGAATGATGCTTACATAATGAAAGGCTGTCTGGTTGATGGGTGCCAAAACGGTTATGCCCAGATCAGCTGCAAACAAGAACTGAGTTTTCAATGGATATTTTCAACAAGTGAGATCAAGCTTCAGAAGCATGTCTTTGAAGAATTGTTAAGAGGAAATGAAACACAACTTTACCCATAGGATCTTGAAACACAGAATGAAACCAATCCAGCACCTAGACAGCGGCAGTCCTGCCAAAGCAAGAGCTAGTGTAATTACAAGGGTGAAGAAAGGTCATGCTAGCAGTTTGGGGATGCGCCAAACATTTCGATTGTTGACTTACAAGAGAATAATAACACCTGCTGTTATGGATTGCTTTGAAAAAGTTAGCCAAAGTTCAGCAGTAAAACACTGGAGAATGCCACGTTTGAGAATCCTTCATGGCAAAAAAGTTCCTATTATCCCTCAGGTTTAAGATGGACAACTTTTGCAGAGTTTCTACTAGAAATCCTTATGTTTCTAATTTAATTACTTGTGAGATAGTATAGATATTGGTACAGATATACCAAGAAACTTATTAAGGTGGAAAAACCAAGCAATGTACAAATTTCTTCATAATAGTAGGCCATCAGGAAGCACTGTGAAACACCTGAAGAAAGACGTGAGCCAAGAATTGTTTTGTTCAGCCAAGTTGTTCTCCAAATATAAAGAAGGATATGTTGGGCAGATGGTTCAGCACAAGGATCTAAGCCTGTGCTTGGGCAGCGTCCACTATTGGAGTGTCTGAGTCCGCACGAGGGAGACAGCAGATCAAAGCTCTAGGACTGGGGTTCTTGCTCCATATGGAAGACATGAATGGAGTTCTTGCTTTGGCTTGGCCATGCGTTATGGGCATCTGGGGGAGTGGATCCATGCACAGGAATAACTTTCCAAATCTCTAAATAGCTTTACAAATTGTTTATATTTTGCCTATTTGAAAGGCAGAGCAAGAGTGGAAGGAAAAAGAGTGAAAAAAATTCTGCTGGCTTGCTTCCCAAGTACCTATAATAAGCAGGGCTGGGCCAAGCTGAAACCAGTAACCAGGAGCTCCATTCAGGTCTCCCACATGGATGGCAGGGATCTAAGTACTTGGACCATCTTCTGCTGCCTCCAAGAAACATGCACAGGAAGTGGGACTGGAAATGCAAAATATGCATCTCTTCTTGAAAATCACTCAACATGATCAGCAATCTTAAAAATCATGAAAACGCTAATTAATGATCTCGATGTTCTCCAAGGTTGGGGATCGATATAACTAGACACAAAAATGCGGGTAAAATCTTTAAGAAGTAACTCAACAAATAAGATCATAGAAAATGCAGAATTAAAGAAAATGTGTTCAAGGATTAAGGAGATAAGCACTTAGAGATGACAAGCAGCAGATAACTGAATGATGAGTAGCTTCAGTATCAGAAAAAATGAAGTCAGAATAGTGGAATGGAAAACAAGTTAAAGATACAATTCTAAAAGATTTTCTGAGATTAAGATGGGTCCACTTTTCCTAAAGTGGAAATTCAACCTTGCAACCAAGCTTAATAAATGTCCTGGACTTCAAGATGAAGAATGGTAGGTTAAGCCATCATTGCATCTCCTCTGAGTCCTAGATGCTCTGCTTATAATTCATTTCCCTGATCATGAAATTCCAGGATTCTGGCTTAATCCTGGCTCAGTCCTGGACATTGTGGCCTCTCAAAGACTGAGTGGAAAGAGTATCTCTGTTTATCTGTTGGTCTTTCTCTCTCTGCCTTTGAAGTCAATAAATAAAGCCTAAAAACCAGAATGCATCTTGTGGGAAGTGTTAAAAGAGCAACATACCTATTAAGGTGGAAAAACCAAGCTGTCCACAGATTTCTCCACAGCAGCAGGCAGCTCGGAAGAGCTGTAAAACACTCATGGGAAGATGTTGTGAGCAAAAGTTTTTTGTTCAACCAAGCTGTTCTCCAAATATAAAGGCTTCAGAAAAGTAATTTGAATATATAAGAAACTATGCAATATTTTCCAAAGGGTCTTTCTGAAGGAAACTATAGAAAATTAATTTCAACAAAGTAATGAATTGCACAAATTGTGGCACAACAATTGATGGTGAACACTGCCACATAGAACTGTAAAACAAAGACTCAAATATTCAGCTTAGGGTGACTGTAAAAAATGTGGTAGGGAAATATTGATAAATGTATAAATGATGAAATTAACTATAATCTAAAAAGAGGGGAAGAACATAGGAGGTAAGTTCACAATTTTAGCACTCTATTAGCTAGGAACCAAAGGATTCCTTCTAGGTTGACAAAATAGCAATATAATGGTAGATATGTTTAAGAGCATAAATGTAAAAATTAATAGAACTAATATTATTGATAAAAACTATGAGGTAGAGAAGAAATTTGGAAGTAGAATATAAAATAGAACATACTTTTATCATTAAAAGTAGACATCATTATCAAAAGAAATGGAGAAATAGGGAATTAGTAAAGTCATAATTATGAAGATAATTACTAGAAAATAAAAATAAATTTCATATCCATCATAAGAAAAAGAGATAGAAAATACAATAACTAAATGAGATCTCTTAGTTTAATTAAAAACTGTATAGACATAGCATAATATTGCTCACATATTTTCAGAAATAGTTTTTGAAAGGAAAATACTTTCAACTGAAAAACCATCCTCTGTATAGCTACGTGTAATAAATAAGCAAAACAAGTTAAGAAAGTTTGAAAATAGAAGAATGGGCCCGGCGCGGTGGCGCAAGTGGTTAAGGTCCTCGCCTTGCACCCAGGATCCCACATGGGCGCCGGTTCTAATCCCGGCAGCCCCGCTTCCCTTCCAGCTCCCTGCCTGTGGCCCGGGAGAGCAGTCGAGGACGGCCCAAACCTTTGGGACCCTGCACCCTCATGGGAGACCCGGAAGAGGCTCCTGGCTTCAGATCGGCATAGTATCGGCCCGTTGCGCTCACTTGGGGAGTGAATCATCGGACGGAAGATTTTCCTCTCTGTCTCTCCTCTCTGTATATCTGCCTTTCCAATAAAAAATAATAATAATAAAAAAAGAAAATGGAAGAATGATAAATTATATAAGACAGAAGCCAGTAAAATTACAATAGTGTTCTATTGGTCAAGACAAAATTCTTGCCAATAAGAAAGAATACTGTAATGTTAAAAAGAATCATTCTCAATGAAAAAAGGGTAACTTTGGATAGCCATGAACAGAATACCTTAACTTCATAAAACAAAAACCTGAAAACTGAGAAATATGCATGTGTCAGCTGACTCATTCACCTTTTATCGTCATGGTAAAAAAAATTAAAAATACACAGGAATGAAATAATTTTGTAGGAAGGTATAACTCAAACATTCTAGATGAATGATAGTAAAAACAGATTAATTTCCTCATATGGAATAGATAAAGTTATCAATTTACTGCCACAAGTGTCTGCAGTTTATAGAAAAACTTTGCATCAATCATGACAATAATCTTTGCGGTTTTGCACAAGGTATGTCACCCGTGTTGTTTTGCAACTGTGATGTGTTTCACTCTGTGGGTCATGAAGTCATGTGCCAGCTTATTGAAATTATTTATCCTGAAACAGGTAAGTAATCACGGATGTCTGATCACATTGTGAGGCAAATCCAGACCCCAAACCCATGGATCATCTACTATCATAACTTCTTGCTTTGACTAAGGAACCACACAGCATTTTGGACTCCTAGTATTTTTTCCTTAATGTAAATTCAGTGTTTATTGTATTAACTTATGCTTAAGAATATTTTTATCTAACCACTGTCAAATATTCCTGTCATTACAGAGATCTTTGATTACCACCCATTCCTCTAATAGCAAAATGGGTAGAACCAGAGATTCTTATTTTAAGTGAAATAATCTGGAAACAAAAAGACAAAGTCCACACAGAAAAACTTGTGTATGTCATATTATTTGGTTTATAAATAAATGCCAATGCATTGGAACCAGGGCAGGGGGCAGGTCTGGTGGGGGTTATTGTGGGTCGCTCTGACTAGGCTGCAGCTCCCACTGGTTTATGTGAGGGTCGAATGTGTGCTGGGCAGAATCAGGCTGGACTGTAACACCCATTGGTTCCAGTGGAAGAAAGGGTGGAAACAGAATCGACCCAGCAATTGAAACCACCAGCTGATTGAGGCGATGGGCCGTACCGGGCTCTGTACTTGCAAGTACATACAAGAATCTGATCTGTCTGAGGGATCACCTCAGACAAAGTTTCTTTTGGGATTCCCCAATCGAACTGCCAGACTCAGATCCCATGGTCTGCCATGGAGTACAAGTGCCAGAGCCAAGCCTCCTCAGAGGCTCAGACGGAACAGTGGAGGGCATAACTAGCTGCACATGGAGGATATGGCAGTCCGTCGGAACCTGCAGAGGATACCTGGCATCACAACAGAGGATGGAACAAATCAATCAACTACCGCAACCATATGTTGGCAGTGAAAAACTGGGCAAACGAAGACTCTAAGATGGACTATGTCAATCAGTGACCTCATAGTGCTCGGAGTGGCAAGATTTGCAGCAATTCATAACTGTTGAACTATCAAAACCACTTGAGCAAGACCCTCAGAGCATGCCCACATCAGGGACCTGGGATGGGTGGGAGACTGGGTGGGGCTTCTCCCTTTATCTTCTCCTTTACCCTAGATACAGGGGGGAAAAAGCAACGTGGAAAAAACAGTCTTAGCCACTTTCTTGTAGCCCATGAACTTTTTTGCCCTAATTAACTATGTAAAGATTGTCAAAAATAAAGAAAAAAATGAGGAAAAAAAGAAAGGCAGGAAGGAAGGAAGAAAGAAAGGAACGAATACTGACTCCAATGTTTGTTTAGGACTACCCATATCTTATTTTCCAGCGATATTAATGGCATTCCTGAAATTAAACTTACACATTTCAGCAACTCACTCTCAGGATCCAGGTTTGATGAATCCATTTACTTCACAAACTGTTGGTAACAAGTAATGTGTAACTTGAGGTCTACTGTGTAACTTGTATAAAATAGAAACAATGCTTTGTTTTTCAAACAGAAATGATTTAATACAGCAAACTAGTCAAAATGTGTTGTAACACTGAAAGAAAAAAATTGGGATGTGGAGTGGGGAATGACATAATCCAGAGACTAATGCAGAAGGCAGCTGGTATTCTTCAGGCTTGATAACAAAAGAGCTAGCATAATCATAGGTCAGGAATACCCCTGAGATCGGCTACCTGGTGTCAGAGAGGATGTGGAGCTCCAGGAGTGACTGCCTGGCCAGTGCTGGGATTATGGAATAAGGGTGGTGAGGCCAACGTTAGTGATGCACAAGGAAATTTGGGCAGAACACATTCTAGGCAGGTATAATACACGGGAATCCAAAGACTTCAAAGGTACTGTGGAAGTAAATGCTTGAAACAGAACAAAGAGACGTTACCCAGTCTTATCCCTCTTCTTTCAGTGCCTCTGCGTGGCAGATCTAACCAGAAGTCAGCCAAATCAAGAGGTCGGTAATTAACACAGTGGATGCAAAGGCTGCCTCACTGTTGACCTCAGCTTCCCCAATGGCAAGGGATATTCTATTCTCCAAGAATTTGGAATCTATGATATTCACTCATCTTTATTCTAATTTCGAGTCTTATTTCAAAGTGCCATTCTTGTTTGTATTTTCCATTTTCACTATCACATTTGCCTATGGCCCTTTTGCCTATGACTCGCTTTGTTTTAGCTCTGAATAAAACTACATTATTTCAGCGTAGAACATTTTATCTTCACATTATGACTATATTAAAATATGCCATTTCTTCAACCTCCATGCTGAAGAACTCCTGATACATTCATCAGAATGTGTAGCTCTGGTGTTAGCCTACATGTCTTGCTTTATTGTGAAATGAGAGTAAAGCCTGTAAGAGTTTCAGGAAGCAAATAGGATTTCTGTGTAAAATAAAGAACTGCATCAGAGTCAATCCTAAAATTAAAAATTTCTTGAGATGGATTTATGGTATCAGGGAAACTTATTAGGGCAAGGGTTACTTGTCTACTTATTAGTCTGCAACCTTTATTTTACTTCACACTCCCTCATTCCTATTGTGCAGCCCTAGATAAAGTGTGCAAGGACTAGTTTTTTTTTTCCTTCCAGCATGACAAAGTCTCACATCTCTGTGCATTATGATGTCCTAATTTTCTCTTTCTGCACTTGCTTTCAGGCTTAGCAAATGTTACTTGTGGAGCCAGACCCAAGTCAGTTGTTCTCACTTTTGTGAAGCCTTTCCAAGCCATCAATTACATATACAGAGCATTTGGCTCACCTTATTTGCATATCACTTAGCATATGATGTTTTCAATGCTTTAGTACAAAAACATCATGTAAGAAAGGTAGGTTTTCCATGATGTAATTTACCAAGTAAATCTAATCAAACAGAAATTCCAACATTGTCTTTGATCTTAAATGCTTTCCATTTCCTCCTTTAAATTTTAGCCCCACTTTGAAAGCAACAAATAAATGCCATTTGTATTTCTATTTCTAGCATCTGGTTCAATGCTGGATGCATAGTGTGCTTCAATAAATGCCTAATGTAATTTAATTATATATCAGTGGAAGAATGCCAAAGTGACAGATTATAATGGTTCTGGGTGGTGTGCATATTTCTGGTTTTCTTACTCCTTCTGATCTGACAAGTACTAATTTTCTGACTTTAAAAACACCTGAAATACATTATTTTTAAAAGTTGATATTTCTTCCTAAGATTATTTAACCATTTCTGGCAAATATGTGAAACCCCAAAAGGGGCACATATTTCCAACATTGATGAGCATGTATTAGTTTTACCTGATTAATTACTGTTGAGTTAACCTACTTTTAATCTCACACTTATCAATAATTTATGTAGAAAAGATTGTATAACCTCCTTAGAAAATTGGTCTTTGTATAAAGGCAACTTTTATAAGGTATATTTTATCTCATTCATGATTGGGCAGTATTATCACTCTGGGTGGCCCTTAATATTTTTATGTTATTTATCTATTTATTTAAGAAAGACTCCAACTCCAAGGCTTATTCACATAGACCTGCACTAGGCGTTTTGAGCAGCAGCCACCACAAAGCAAAGGGAAAGCTTTGTTCATGTGCTGAGGCATCACAAAGTAGGACATTTTTCCATAAACTGTGCTTGCCTACATAATTCTCAGCTGTTACTGCAGTATCAGCTTAGGGTATGTCTAGGGACACCTGCGTCGACTCCTCTTTCAGATATGTTGCTTTCTGTGGTTTCTGAGAATTTCCGCTTTTACCACGATTGTTTCAAAACAGAAAATAAAACAATCATAAAAGAGAAGGGAATTTTATCATTAATCACAGATGAGAGAGTGTTTAGCCCTTCCATTCTCTGAAGACAGTATCTAGGCACAGAGAACAAAGGGACTTCCTTCTTTACAAAAGCCTATTTACTTGCCAAATGACACCATTCTATATTAATAGAGGTGGTAGTGATAGAGCTTAGTTACTTCCTTCTCAAACTCCTTTTCACTATATCTTGACGATCTATGTGTTTAAGGTATGCAGTGGCAGGCACATTTCCTAAAAAGATCTTCATGTTGGGAAGCAGCAGCCAGAGGCTCAATGCCAGGATTAGCTACTAACAGTAGGGGAAAAACTGTTCTTCATGTAGCCTTGTTCATTGGAATGCTACCCACTGCTATTTGAAATAGCAGTTGTTTCTTGCCCATCATACAAATTGTTTTGCAGATCTGTTAGGAGCATTTGGGGATAGAATTTCTGAATCTTTAGGTATTTCTTCAAGAGAACATTTACATTCTGTAGCAATATCTGAATGTTTTTAAAAGGATGATTATTTTCCTTTGTCAGGATGCAATCCCTATAGGTGAACTCAAGAACCAAGGCAAACAACAGCCTAGGCTGGGTTGCAGTACCCACTGGCATACATGTGCCTCAGTTATGGGGGTGGGTCAAGCTAGGCCAGTTCATAACATCCACCGGCAGATCTGAGAACCAGGACAGGGTGTGTGACAGGACTGTTCTGGCCACAGCACCAGCCAGTAAATATCGAGGCCAGGACAAGGGGTTGGCTGGGTCAGGTTGGGCAGCAGCACTTACTAGCATGAGCTGGTACTGGGGGCAGAACAGTCTGGGCCAGGCTACAATGCCTGTTGGTAAATGCTGAGGTGAGATGTATCATACCAGATTGAGCCTTGACACCTACAAGCTTATTTGAGACCTGGTGGGGGTGGGGGAGGTGTGAGCCTAGTAAGGGAGCTGTGGGGACTCTCCTGCTAGGCCACTGCTCCTATTGGTGAGTGTGAGAGCTGGGACTGGGGGAAGACCAGGCTGGGCTAACTGACTGTATCCACTGGTACAGGCATGAGCCAGAGTAAGGGCAGGTGGGTGGTACTTACCACAGCATCAGCTGGCAAGTACTCGGACGGGGGCAGGTCCTGGTGTGCTAGACTGCAGGACCACCAGGAGAGTGCAAGATCAGGTCTTGGAGTGGGCCTAGTGGAGAAACTGTGGGCACACTGGATACACACTGGCAAGTCTGACAACCAGGACCAAGGGCAGGTTAAGCTAGAAAGGCAGCAGCGCCCACTGGTATGCATGTGGGCTGGAGGGTGGAGTCAGTTGAGATGAGTTGGCTTCAAAGCCCAATTATGTATAGAGAGCTGAATAGGAGGTGGGACCAAATCACCGCACATGCTAAAACCAGGGCTGGTGGCCAGACCATTGGGGGATGTTGGGAGTCACTCTGACTGGACTGCAGTTCCCAGTGGTATAAGTAAGAGCATACTGTGTGGAGGGTAGGGTTGGTCTGGGATGCAGCACCCATTGTTTAGCATAAGAAATATGGCTCGGGATTGATCTGATCTAGCAATTGTAATTACCAGACTGATGAGGGTGACAGAAACAACTGTTCCCTGTACAGGTGGGTGTACACACAAGAGATAGGTCTGAGATCACCTTGGATGAAATTTCTTTGAGGGTCTCTCCCCAACTATCCTGCTGGACAACTCCAACTATGAAGAGAGTGACAGGATCTGTGGTCTGATGATGGAGTGCATCTGTTCAGACTGGACCTCCTCAGTGGCTTTGATGGAGCAGTGGATGCCATAGCCAGAGGCACATGGAGGATAGGTCAAACCATTGGAGACTGCAGAAGATACCCGATACCATAGCAGAGGAAGGTGAGTAGAACAAATTGTTCAACTACCCCAGTGAAACATGACAGCTAATATCTGAGTAAATGGAGACTCAGAGGTGGACTGTGTCAACCAATGGACCTTGGAAGGATATCCTGATCCTCGCATCTGAGAAATCAATGGCATTTCAGAACTACTGAAACCACCTGGGTAGAACTCTTGGGGCAAGCTCTACTTTGGGGACTTTGGAATGACATTGAGGGGCTGTTCCCCATCTCTGGGTGTTGGGGTGGTTGAGAGGCTGAGTGTGGCTTCTTTGTCTCTCTCCCTTTTACCCAAATACAAGAAAAAAGAAAAGAAAATGTGGTCACAAAGGTCTCACCCATTTTCCCCAGATCCTGGACCTTTCCCATTCTAATCAACTATGAAAACATCATCAAAAATAAAATTAAAAGAAAGTTTAAC